AGGAGGGCGGCTCAGTTGTGAGTCAGCTACTTCAAGGCTACGGTAGCACAGTGGGTTTCTGTTCAAAGGCACGCCCCACTACCTCTATTGATTAGGGCGCAGTTTGTCGACGGGGGGGGGGGCATTCGGCTTTTCATAGATGTGCCGACCCATCTAGGTAGCCTTTTCTCGAGTTGACACGTTTTAGGATGGTGGCTAGACGATCTTACTCCAGCTTCACAGGCGTTCACAAGTTTTACCATGGTGAGATTCGTAAACCGGAACTAGGGAAGCAATGTTAGTACAAAATGCCCCCCCCCGTCGCTAAACAGCACCGCTATTAGATTTAATTGCTGGGGAATTGCTAGAGAATACTAAAAATATCAAGAGCTACTTTTTTCTGGTACTTTTCAATAGAAACAGAAAGATATACGTCATTGAAATGTCTTTACTCGACCATAGAACTTCAGAATTGAACTCTTTTCTACGAGGGAAACGATTTTACTTCACAAAGTTATCTATCTTTGAGAAGGCGGATCAACAAAGGCAGATCCAAACCAGCCAGTTGAACATAGTGTTTGAAAGCAAGGACACAATGGCTGGGGCCGGGCGGTTACTGCCAACGTCATATGTGGAAGGACTTGGCCACACCTCATCGAGCCCTCCCACCAATGACGTTGACAGTAACCGTCCGCCTCCAGCCATCGTGCCCACTGCCTTCGAAGGCACGTTCCGCAATGGGCGGAGAGGTGCGCGCAGTAAGGGGGCATAGCGCGCCAGTGAGAGTGACGCAATGGCTGTGAGTCTTTATTATTACTAGCATTGTGAAATGTATTTACAAAAATAAATTTATAAGTTACAAATACTCTATTGCAAATAACTATAGAAAGATAAGTAGACTGGTTAGAGGTATTCTCATTGGCAGCGGTGTTCAACACTAGCTCTCCTTCTACCACTAAATTCTTAACTTTTTGTAATCCGCTGCGGCAGTGTCTTTTACTCATTATTCCCTTAGTTTGTTTAGCCCATCTACAACGATCCATTTTTCTTCCTCTTACACAATCTTACTCACACCGGTTATATCCTTCTTTCATTTTTCCTTGTACAATTCCTTCTCATCTTTATTGCATGAATTTTGCATGTCAACTTTTTTACATTTTTTCTCGTTTTATCCTATTTCTTAACTCCTTCCCCTATGTAGTCCATGTCCATGTCGTCAACTCTATCGTACTGAGGAGCCCGGGGGTTGGTAAGACATCGATGATTCGTCTACGATAACGGGCGAAACGGATCATCTGTGATGTTGAGTGTATTCCTTTCCCCAATATTTGTTTCTTTGTTCCTAATTCTCCTGTTAATTATTGTCCCTACACTATTTTCGCAAAATATGCCTTCAATAAGGAGTAATTAAACAACTGATTACCTATGCAAATGGCGTGCTCATGGCAGTTGTTGGTGGTTTTCGAGGCACACTCGTCGACCAATGGCCGGCAATCCAAACCGGCAAACACCTTCATGTTCGGCGAGACATCCACGAACGACTCCTTACATCTGGAATAGCTCCACATTAATAATTACGTATTCGCTTTATTCTTTAAACGGATCATCGGCTATAAAAAATGAGCTATAACGGTTACGAAAATACCTACAGTAGAAAAAACAATGCAAAAAACTGCTCTTGAAAAGCTTGCACTTTTGGAAAGCTCGCGGAACCTTATTATTCAGTCACACCGTTTAGCAGTGGATTAATCAATAAAATCAATCAATATTCACTTCCTCTGAGTGCTCACCTGCAAAGGAAACCATCTTCGAGGTCAATGCAATCGGCGTTTGCAGAGCAGTTGTGGCGATTCTCTTCACATTCATTGTGCACTGCAATGAAACAGTTGGCTCATGGAAATATCGGAAACTGGAGGACGGAAACAAATGAAAAAGAGGGCAATAGTCAGACAACCTAAACAGGTTAAGCGATGACGAGTTGCCCCAAAGGAAAGATGGGGGGGGGGGCGCGTCATCGAGAAGTACCTCACCGAAGTGAATGTCACGGCCAAAGATTCGTTGAATAAGAACAAGTAGGGACGTCTATCAAGAACAGCGGACCGTGCCACGGGACTGATGCTGGGGAGAAGAAGGAGGGAAAAGGTCGGATAACCCGAGTTTCCCAGTCAATAGTTCGGTGAAGAAAATCCCCAAACAGCGCTTTTCCGACAGGATTGAAATTATCCATTGGAGATTAGCATTTTTGGTGACCCTGGTAATTTTTTGGGTCCGACATCACGTTATTGAACGTGTAATCGAAAAACCACTCACGTTGTGTGCAAACTCGTCCAGGTTTCCTTGTCTGGTCAGGCGATTTGTCGAGAAAACCGCTGTTGCACGTGCAGATGAATGATTCGTCCGTGTCTGTACAGCGTGCATTTGGGTCGCAGTCATGAGTACCAGCAGAACATTCATCGATCACTGAAATTCTTTGATAAAGTAATGGAGCAACCATCTAACTGCTTATTGATCACTTCGGGCTAGCTGGGTCCATCGTAAAGTCCTGTTCTGCTAGATCAACTCGTTCGTGTGGCAAAGGTAGTAAGGGAAACAAGGGTTGCGTTCAAAGAGTTAGCCTTGAGCGCCCCACATCCGACTGAGGGGATTTGCGCTCTGTGCAGTACTTAGGAATCCAATGGGCGCTCAATTCGCTCTAATTGCTAGTAGTAAGGCACCTGGATAGGTACCGCTTCATTGTATAAGCCCTGGACAAGGAAAAAGCTAGACAACAGTGCCATAGGAGAACAACAGGGGAGCAATTGCTTAAAAATATGCAAGCGCAGGAGAATTTCGGTAATTCGTCCAAAGTGGGCGTGTCAGCAGGACAGTACCTTGAGAAGCTGGGATGAGTTAGCGGAGAGTTTGTGTTTGACCGCATAATGAAGGGTCATGAATTCTTAGCGGCTAACTTTAGCTGGCCTTGACGCTCTCACATTCAAATGCGGATGCATAAGCGTAAAAACGCAAAGTTATAGTCTGAAGCTAGATAAATTATTGACGACATGGACGGTTCCTCGACAGTGCGTCCCGCCCACCAAGGACCGAGATAACCTAGACAGTGCGCTCCGCCAAGTTGGACGAGTTACCGTCGATAGTGTTCGGCCACGCAAGAACGTTTGTGGAATAAGTGGGCGGAATTCTGGCACAGTTCCAAGTACTGCTCCAGCTTCATAGGAAAGTATAGATGTAAAACTTGTATCAGGCTGGGGACTAGCGATGCATCTGTTACTCAAATTTTCGCAAAAGACTCACAGCAAATTTCGGTGACGTTATGTCTCTTGTAGAACTGGTCACACTGGCAGGTGTATTCGCCACTGAAATTATTGGATTTAACTGAATTCCGCGATCAATAAATCGATATAGCACTGGTCACTCCCTTGATGGGAATGAGCTAGATTACATCTGAATGCCAGAGAAAATCATTATAGTGCTGAGTGCGTGGCTCTTACCAGAAGGGTCATCTAGGAACTGAACCGAACGAGTACATCTCATACTAGGGCCCCTGTAACGATTGGTGGGGTTAGTTGGAAGATAACAGGGTCATGTTGGCATACTCATCCCTTCGTGAGTTTTAGCCCAAGACAAGACTTGGCCTAACTATTCGGGCCAGGTCTTTCTCACAGATGGAAGAAATGAAGTTCAGGTTAGGCCCGAATGCTAACCTCCCCAACCTCTGGGACTCAAAAGCACGCCTGCGTTTATGAACGATGAACTAGCTATTCGGCTCAAATACTTGCAGCAACATGTATGATAAATGACACAAAAGCGAAGAAGAGCAGAAAACACTCATTCGAAGGGCACCATATAGAACCCTATGCTGAATGGTGCTTGAACCCTCGCTTGTGGGTGTCAGTTCCTTCACCTTGTCACCTCACTCTCAGCTTTCGGAATGGGGTAGGAGGCGGCTGGTAGTGGAACAGCAGCACCACTATAAGTTTTATAAATGAAAGCTGGGTATTGCATTGGTCACTAGGCGGGGCATCACCTTCGCTGTGGGTGGAACTCTTTTTCATGTAATTTTGAGCCGTGAGTTCGGTACATCTTTTGCGCTTGGGTAGGACTACTTTGCCCGAAGAGTACGTCTGAACATCGAATGAACGCGGAGCGTGCCCCTTTAATACAGGGACATGAATTCGTGGCATACTGCTGTAGTGTGACTAGGCCTCCTGAACTGCATTGGATTCTTCGCCGTTTCTCCTGCTTGGGTAATCCGGCAATCTCCAAAGTATCGTTCAATCACTACTAGCTCCTCCCTTCTTCTGGAAAAACGCTCCATGAAGAGCAACCCCACGAATACTGTTTGGTAATGAGATAATAGATTCTTACGTTGAATCACGGAGACACTTCTCCTTCTTTCGGGCATCGCAGGAATTTGGCACAGATGGGTCACAAGTGCCCGGTTTTTGACATTTATCCGACTTGGCATTGCGAACGTAACCAGCACTGAAAAAACTTATGCTTTCATTACGAAATCGCCCTCTTACATCTTTCACTGCTTATAATAATCAATTGTTAAAAGTTGCTTGAAAAACGGTAAAAGTAAAGTGTATCAAGTAGTGGTCTTTCAAAAATTTTTATAGACACAGTTTATATCCCGTAGAGGGAGAGGGCGTGGCCGCATGCTTCATGTGAGCATGGCTTGAGATACATTTTTCTTGGGATGATTGCGATCTTGTGCTGGACAAAAGCAGGATTACGATTTTCCCCAAATTTCCAATATCTTTTCAAAAGAGCAACTGCCGCCACGGTTAGTTGAAGCATACAGCCACGCCCATTCCATCTACGAGTTGCAGACTGTAGAAATAAGTGCCCTAGACACTGATATAGTTGTGAGACCGGGTGGAGACCACTCGGCAGTTCCTCTGACCAAGGCTCAGGCCTAGAACACAGACGACCAGAGTCGCTGAGCGATTCTTGCAGAAAAGACATAGTCCCATAAAACCTGAGCCTCGGTCATGTAATGGAATGCAGAGGCGCTGCCGAGTCCCTGCCCCTCCCTCCTCTGACCCATCCAAACGCCACGACTCAAACGTAGTTGTGAGTCAAACAAAGTTTGGGCAGTGCTTTTCACCCACTTTTTCCTTTTTTGAAGTTTCCTTTTTCCTTAATGATCTTTGAAATCCTGTTCGTTTATATAAGAAATCTGAAATTATGTTCCTTGCACAAACCTGCACTGGCACACCGCATCCCCGCCAGGACCACGGATACATTTCGCGTTAGGACCACAGCTGGCCGGATTCCTAGGATCACACTCGTCGTTGGATTCGGAGAGCTCTTGAGGGGGCGTTCCAATCTCTGTAAAAGTTGTTTTCTGAAGGATCTCACGACGTTGATCAAAGACTAGATAACTCACTGCATGCACCGGTGTGTAGGTCTCGCCAGCCGAGATCGGCTGGGCAAGTGCAGCGCCAGTTACCGAACGGTGTTCGTTCACAGATCTCGGGATCAGGGCAAGAAGTGGCAATTTCCGGGTTGCAAACGTCACCACCACAGGCCTGCAACCAAAAATTGAGATTACAATAGGTGTGAACCGCATAACAAAATAAAAAGCAGAACTCCGGGATACGTGAAGGTGAACAGAAACTTTGACAACGACTCGTCCAGAAGTGGGCGGGTCATAAGTAGCATCCCCGCCCTACGTTGGACGAGTTACGCACGGTCTACGGTGACTATTCAGGAGTATGTGATTAAACTAGCTCATTTTACTCTATTTCTCCTTGTTAGCATTTAGTTCACGTCAGCTGCGCACAGCCTTGGCTCCCGATAGTTGAGAGGGCGCAGACAATCAGACATGACATGGTATGATCTCCCGCCGCGTAGCCCCCCTTATCTACTGTTACCGTGAGTATAACCTCGACTGTACTCCTGCTTAGCTAATTTTTGGAAAACCTACCTTAGTAACAGGATGCTGCTCGAAACCGTCAGGACATCCACAACTGTACTGGCCATCTTTCTTCATGCAGATTTGATTCAGAGCACGATCGCATCCGGCATGTGATGCAGGATCGCAAGGTCCTGAAAAGAACTGTGTACTGTAATGAGATCACTGAATGCTGATGAGAGATCCATATTGCTGCGATAGTCGGTGGAGTTGCACACAATGTCGGGTGCGCGGCATTCAAACCAGGAAATAACTGATTTGACATGAACTACTTCAGTATATCGAGTCAGCTAGCTAGAAAATATTGGCCAGGCAGTGCGTATCGCCATCAGGATCTCCCAACCCACACTCCAAGTCGTAATGTGAAGTTTTTGAAGCAGTTATTCTTTTCACA